AATTCAAGTTTTGTGCAAAAACGCATGATCGCTCCGGCTCGCCTGGTGCGTTCCAGCCTAAGTTGCGATTTGCATATAGGCAAAAACGCATAAAAATCGGTACAGACGAACACACAGACACTCACACACACAGACGGCCCCTCGTCAGTATGTGTTTTCTGCATTGCATAGCTGCAAAAAACGCATAAAAACTGAAAGCATTGCTAAATGAGTGCACATTTCAATTATAAAGCAACAATCATTTGTGCTACTAATAAACTAATTGTCTGACTGGTCCAAAGCGCATGGTCGCATCGATAACGCTAGCAGTGCTACTTGAATTTGCACATTCTAGTGCTGCTACTTAAGTTTGCACATGCTGCTTTGAATCTTGTACGCTTGTAAAAAACGTTAGCGATTTGTTTCGATTTGTTTCAAACATGCTTCAAGTTATTTCCTCAAATCGCTAACATCTCAGAACGTTAACGATTTGAGGAAATAACTTGAAGCATGTTTGAAATGAAAAATTAGGAGGATTTCTAAACTTCAGGCATTTGAATTTTAGTTAAAAAACCAGAGCTACCTCGGTACTCGTACATTTGATAGAAGAGAAAGACATCGCCGTGTAAGCGGGCAGCAGCACTTTAACTAGCAGCAATCAACCGATAATGCTAAGCTGCCGACGGTTCTTCCACTCTGAAAATTGACTGAAGCTACAGCTTAGGCTTCCACATTTAGGCAACAGAAGAATTTTTCTCGGAGATAACATTCCGTTTAATCGGTATCTAAGAAAAAAACCAGCTGTTTATAATATATCTCTCGAAAGTCAAAATGGTTCGGCTTACCAACGCGGGGCCGTTAGTTTTACAACCAAATGCCAAACATAACCGTATCACTCTCAACAGGCCTGTGTGCATCCACTTATATACTGTTTGTCACATACATTCACAATTTTCAATTTACCGGTCATATTGAATCATGGATAAGTGGGTTTTTTAGGGATTGTCAGCTAGGCTTGGCTACTCTACTCTTTGTTATCATATCAATGTTGGCTGGATTAGTGATCGTTCTGATGAAAACTGATCAAGCGATTGTTCTCTACTGTGGTCGGAAGGCAACCTTCTCAAAAGGATACGGTTACTATGTGTATTTTTCAGAGGTTTATCTGTTTTTAAGTGTTTTTGCTGTGCCCAGTCACTTCGCTGCAACAATAAGCGCAAATGCATACTGTGGCGAGTTATACATATATATGTACATATTTGCATACGTTTATTCGAATAAAATTATCACCTGCTTCCATCTTAGCAACCCGAGAAGCTAGGAAAAAATTTTTGGAGCATGTTCCCACCCAACCTATTCATTTCAGAATCGTAGTTCATTACGCCTAGGTCTCATACGAGGACATGCCGAAAAATTTCATGCCGTCTCAGGACGCAGCGCTACCGGGAACCGATGCCCCCCTTCCATTACCTATAGCAAAAGACCAAAAACATTGCCAAGATGAACGCATAACAATCACTTATATTGTTAACGGTCTGACTGCTTCAAGATTTGCGTAAAAAAATGCATATTTGCACACACAAACCTGGTGTGGTATGCTACGTAAGTTTTTCAGGCATAAATTTAGCACTAAATTTTAACATGCTGAGTTTTATTTTTAATTTCTGTCCATATACACTTTTGTAGGGTTTTGCGCATTAGTTTTGAGAACCCCAATGTTTTGCTCTTGAAATGCAGGAACGGGGAGTTGCTTACAGCCCTGTCAGGAACTTTAGCTTCATAGTGAGAGTAAAACAGGTTAATGTGTTAAAATACAGCTTTTTTGAATAAAATAGACACTTACCGCACATTTTTCATGGGTGTTGGTCATTTCCTCACCTTCATCAAACTTCTGCACTTAGATTTTATTCCGCACCTAAAATTTCTGTATACGAGCTTAGCCTACTAATATGCATCTTAATAAGGGCTTTTTTTTGTAACTATGTGGATATAAATATTTCATAATCGAGAAATTAAATAAAAATTTCATAAGCTTTGAATATCTTGCCTCATTCTAAAGGTTTATTTGACGGGAATATGCTCAGTCGCTTCTAATGCTTGCGGCAGTTGAGCGAGTAATCTACACCATGCTCGAAATATTGCTGTGACATTTCAGACGTTTGGTTATTTTGCTGCATTATTCCTCAGCTCACTGGCCTATTTTAGCGCTCGAAAAGTACAGCAGACAAGGTACTTATATTGCTTATTAATAAACTCATGCAAACTAAAATAGCTTGTTTTCTGAAATCGTAAATCGCCATCTTTTACTTTTGTCACCCTGATTCGTAAACCTCAAACCAGTGTGAGAAAGGATATTACGACACCAGATCGGTTATCTTTAGCTTCGCCACTACAAGTACTGCTACACTAGTTCGGTTTGTGTTCAGCAGTGTAGCCCACAGAAAACCTGTGGTGCTCTGGTGCAAGATCAGAAGTGACTTCCTAAGCTTAATGCTAGATTACCGCAAACATTGTAGGGCAATCAAGGCACAGCTGAAGAAGATTCGCTATGTGCTAGCAATGGGATTTTTATCCTGTATACTTATTGCTCTACCAAACGTTGTTTCCATGATTTCGGCATTCATTGTTTGGGTTGTAAGTTACCAGATTTTTGTCAACTTGCTCACTGTAGGAAATCATTAAAGTAGAAGGTAAAACAAGTTAACGGTTATTCTTCCAGAAGCTGTTTGAACAAGAAAAGACTGTATGCGGTTTTTGAATCTATTTCTCACATGGGTCTTGCCTTCCAATAAATCGTTTTTAAGCAACCTACGGCAAAGATGGCCAAGACGGCTTGGGTAGTGAGTGATTACTGATTGAGCGTGCTACTACTCGGACTGCATCCGAGTGAGCACGGAAGAGGAAGTCTCAGCTTGACTTTTTTATAAAATTCTCTTCAGCAACTAAACTGTGAGCGAAAAAGCGTTCAGACTTTACAAAAACTGAGACTGGTCGTTACGAAACACAAACCATTAGACTCTCAAAAGTATTTTGCTTATATTTATGTTCATGCTAGTATTTTTTCGGCCCAGGGAAATTCCTTACGCAAACGCCTTTTATTTCCAGCATTTTCTAGCCACGAAGTTTCCTACTGAAAATTTCACGTACAGGGGTGTAAAACGTAAGCGTCCGTGAAAGCCGAGTCTGAACCTTGGAAAATAAATATTCTTCCGAATATCATTCTCCTATTCTTCCAGCTTTCTAGTGTCTTTCGCGCCAAAATCTTCACTTGGTCATACCTGCGTACTTGAGGGATAGATTAGAATTTGTGAACCTCTTGCATAGGCAGAAAATATCCTTATGAAGTTTTCAGCCTCCTAGCCCTTCTAGCTTCCGAGACAATAATTTTCCCCGCCAAGACTTTTGGGGATAGTAAGTGGTAACCAGACTCACGACAGCGCCAAATTCAAATTAGAAGGGTCGTAATTGGACAGGGGGCATTACTTTAAAATCTCAGCTTTCGAGCCTTGTGGTTCCTGAGGTAATAATTTTCTCCTCTATGACTTTCACGAGGCCGTACGTGATACCCGGGCGCACGGGAAAGCTAAGCTTAAATTTTTTGGGCCACACGCAGGAAGAGAACATTCTACTAAAATTTCAGCCTCCTATCTTTTGTGGTCTCATGTTGAAAGTTAGGTTTTTGCTGCGCAAAAAGAATAAAAACGCCCCCAGTGTTTCGAAGAAGGGGCAGAAATTTATCATACACGTATTAAAAAAGAAACGCTCGTGTCTTTTTCCTACTAGATGTGCCACCGCTATGGAGTGGTCGATGTATAAAATAAATTGCAGCCAATGGAGATATATGACTCAATTCACTGGTTATCCAGCATCAATTCTTCTTTGAATTTTTTTATCTACTACAGCATGAATGGCGAATTCAAACGTAATGTGCAGTCAATCTTTTGTGCAAATTCCAGAATCACCTCTCTCGGCTAACGAACTCATTAGCGGTATGTATCAGGTGGGCCGGTGCAGCTACGCTTTTATGCACTAGTTCGTGCTGTAGCTGAGGCTGCTTGTTCGAGGTGCTCCTGTCTTACTGTTTTGAGTTTTGATTTGCTTCGATATGTGCTGTTTTGCGGCAGTGTTTTGCTATTCCATTTTTTAATGCGTTTTTGCATTTATGCAAATGCAAAAACGACCCTGGTGTGTGTGTGTGTGTATACGTGTGTGTGTTCGTCTTTCCGAGTATTTCAACACGGCAACCAAGCAAGCTCCGTCGCCAAAACTTTGCCAGTGGATTTTCTGACCGAGTACCACTCCAGGGCCGCGGTGTCAACCCCTCATGCATGTCTGGACCCCGCATACCAGCGCACGAAATTTTTGGCGAAAAAATCGCCAATTCGGAAACCAAAAAAGCTAGAAAATTGAAATTTTCAGATTATTTTCCCGGTTCACTTAGTACTCAAACATTTCAAATTCAGTATCCAGGTGTGTGTAGTTCCCACGTAAGGCCCCGTGAAAGTTTTTGGCGGGAAAATCGCTAACCCGAGAACCAGGAAAGCCGGGGAGCTGAAGTTTTGAGGGGACGTTCCCAGCCCAAGCTTGACTTTAAATGACCAAGCTTGACTTAAAAATGCAAGTAGTTAGACGGGACTTGGTTTAGTCCCGTCTAACTACTTGCATTTTCGAAACTGGAAAAGCTAGAAAGCTGAATTCTTGCAACACTGTGGATTTTTGAGCAATTCGAAATGTTATGTTAACTGACCAATGATTTTTAATAGGATTCAAATATACTGGCCAAGTAGTATTAGTAAATTTTTTGAAACGTTCATGAAGTTACAATCACGTCAATGTTTCAAAAATTAAATCATATAAAAAACCCAGGCTTTTCTGCACAACCACATGTAAGAAGGTCCTTGAAATCGATCAGCTTTTCAAATTAAGCCAGAAATTTGTTCCGTTCTGGGATCAATGTCGATGTCGAAAAAACACGGTCGAGTTGGTAAGCCAGGCATCGTCTGTATTTCACCGCACATCGGAAAAATGAATCCAGCACCGGCTGCCACTTGTGCATCTCGTATCGGCAATATAAATCCTTAAGAAGTGCTTTAACTGTAACGTTGTGCACAGTTGCCGATGGTGGAATGAATCTTTCGAGAGAGAGAGAGGCAGAGAGAGAAGTAAGCACCCATTTCTTCAAATGCTGCCATGCTCAGCTGCGCAATTAATCTTCTTAGTCCGACTGTATGATTTCAAAATTCAGCATGGAAAACTCAGCAATATTACCTTTCGGAGCTCCCTTTTTGCTAGGATCATGTGAGAGCGAGTACTGTGTCTTTGCCATGCATACTGGAAGATCGCCGAAGCCCTGTTTCTCATATATGTCCAGTTGTTTCCGAGCATGTGGCAATATATTAATGCCGTCAGCGCCAAAAATCTCTTTCGCAATTATTTCCATTTTCTTTTCCAACTTTTCATTCAAGTCGTATAAAAATCTGGGGAAATTAAGCAGTTTCGCTGAATTCGATTGAATTGTTTGGATTAAAAATAACGGGTTGATGTAAATACCGACAGTTACTTACAACTTAACTCGGCCGGACTGACAGGTAAGTTGCGATGACTGGAGAGGTGGCAGGGTAGGAACAGAGATAAGAGGAGAGGAATGGGCAGGAGTGGTGTTTCAGTCTTCGGAGTCGTAAGATTGGGGAGAGGAAGTGGAAACAGAGGCAAGGATTATGGGATTGCAGGCAAGTGCGAAACTTTCAATTCAAAAAGTAGCAAAGCTAAGAAGCTGAAATTTTAAGGTCCTTTGCTCACGTGCGACCTTGCAAATTCAAATTCAACTTTCACGTACGCCGAGGTCTCACGTATAGCTCAGTGAAAGTTTTGGTGAGGAAAATGTTGTTTCGGGAATCACAAAAGCTAGGAAATCAAAATTTTAGGGGTATGTCCCCTCGTCACGTGTGGACCTAGAGATTCAAATTCAGCTTTCACTTATACCTAATTGTCACGTACGGCCCGTAGAAGTTTTATCGTGAAAACCTGCTAACTCAAGAATTAGAAGAGTTAGGAGGCGGAGTTTTCAAGAAGTTGTTTTTTTTTCTATGTAGAGGCTTCAATTTCAGCTCTCAGGTATGCCTAGGTCTCACGTACGGCCAGTTAAAATATTGGCGCAAAGTCGTTAACTGAGAAGCCAGGAATTAGGGAGCTGAAATTTTGGAAAGGTGTTTCCGCCCACGTGCGATCCAAACGTTTCAAATACAGCCTTCACTGGCGCTTGCTTCTCACGCACCAGTAAGTCAAATTTTTATTGGGATCGCAGCTTAGAAACTGGACAAAATATCGGCTATTTTTGCACACGTAGCGAAATCCCTCAACAGCATACGTTTGCTGGACGGAGCTGCGCAAAACACACGATTGCACTCGCTATCCTGGTGCGCGTCGCTGTTTGTTTTCTGTGTTAAGCAGGAAAAATGATTCTAAGAGGAAGTTAACAAACTTTAACACGGTGTCTAACACCTCAGCAGGACAAATCCAGGCTGGAACGCACTAGGCTCTCCGGTGCAATCATGCGTTTTTGCACTAAACTCGCTGATCGCTATTAACAGGAATAATCCCTACATTGTCGCCTAACACTTGGGCTCGTATCGGCCGTGCTTTGATCCTTTCCGGTAGGCAGGAAGAAGGGCGTCAGTTGGGATGAGGTGGTCCTATCATTATAGAGCCGCACGGACATTCAAGTGCACGATTACCGGTTTTTTGCGTGAAGTTCGGTCGTTTTTTCGGTAGATGCTCGCTTTGTGAAAAAATGACAAATGCAAATTTTTTGAAAAAATGCAAATT